AATGGGTGGATTCACACATTCTAAGCCAAAAACAAACAAGGCACATAATAACCTAAATCAAGGACGGGCAATATGTGATCCTAAGGCTGTATTTGAACCCTGAGTCTCACTATGATTGTTGAAAATTAAACACATAATTTCCTGCCATTTTCAGGAGCAAACATAAAACCTGCTTTCTTGTACTGCCTACCCACTTTGTGGCCTACAGTCCCCCTAACTGCTTTGTAGTAGGGGGGTGATTACAGAGAGCTCTGGAAGATACAGATTATTTGCATTCATGGAATCTGATTTTATAGGATGGAAACAACATTGGTTGTACTTATGGATGACATACAGTATCTTGGTGGTTTTCAATACTGTTAACTAATGCATCTTTCTGGACTATCTGTGAAAGTTGGGAGTTGGAGGCACCATATGGCGCTGTTTCTACTCCTACCTAGGCAAGTAGGTCCAGCCAGTGATGACAAGTAGTGATAAGCTGGCCCCTTACGCACTCTCCAGTGGAGTGCCCTAGAACTAAGTCCTTTCCTCTATCCTGTTTAACATGTAAATGAAGTTATCCATTGGGTTCAGGATGAGATATCATAATATCCTGATGATATTCAGTTTTACATCTCCACTTCAGATTCTGTAGGAGATGTGTTATAAGGTCTGACTCAGTGCCTAAAGTCTGTCAGTGTCAGGACAGGAAAAAACAAACTCAGATTCAGCCCTAGCAAGACAGTATGACTGTTAATTTAAAAGTCCACTGATTCCAGGACAGTATAAACTTTGATTCTTGATGGAGCTACCTCCCTTCCCCCCGAAAAACTAATAAGAGTCACAAATGCCCAAAGAACAGGTAGACGCCTTGGCCAGGAGGGCTTTTCCCAGCTTCAGGACTGCTAGTTGCAGTCTTACTTGGAACAGGAATGCTCTGAGAACTCATGCCTTGGCATCTCTTGGTTAAATTACTGTAATGAGGCTTACCCAGGGCTATCTATCCTTGAAGACCACCCAGAAACTTAAGCAAGCCCAGAATACAGCAGCTGCTTGCTAACTAATCAGTCCCAGTATTGCCCCATTACAGCTCTAGTGCAAGAGATGCGCTGACTACTGATGTGTAGTAGCAATTCATGGTGCCAGTTGCTACCTGTATAGCTCAGTGCTGGGTATCAGAGACCAGCTCTCCCAGCTAGATTCTACCCCACTTACCAGGAGGTATTGTGAGAGGGAGCTTGATGGTGGGTGTTCTCAGTGGCAAAAATGGTCCCCTTGCCTTCCTGAAGTTGGTAAAAAGATGGCTCTTCCAAGGGGCCTTTGTGGACAATAATGCTGTAGAGTTCAAGAGTCTTTGAAAGAAACAAGAGTTCTGTTATTCTTCATAATTAGAGCTTATTTCAGAAAATTTAGGAATAGGGCAAATCTACGCTGAAGCTCCTCCTTTCCTCCTTCATCACATGGGGACCCTTTTTAAATCAGAAGGGCTTCAATCAAAATTAACATGCAGAAGTAGATCCCATTGCTCATGCAGTTGGGTTAGGTTGTTCCACTTTGACACTGATCTTTGGAAACCATTGAACACACCTCAAGCTTAGTTACCAAGATTATCACCCCAGCCAAGGTACCATTGCTGCCTATGATAATTGCAAAGTACTTTGCTGAGAAAGAAGGTTTACTGAATTCTTAATGTAACAAACTGCTACATATTTAAAGTCCTAGCACTTTAAGCTTGATAGTTTAAAGAGTGGTAACTCCCAATAGTAACTAAAATATTGATCTATTTGAGAATCATGTGAAATAGACCAAACAGTAATGGAGCAATTTGGTATCAAAACTAATTGCCATGACATCCTTACAAACAAATCAATAATATGAACTCTGTTGGGTTGGCATCCACAAACATTAGTGTGCATTTTATATATCACTATTTCTTAAATGTTTCAGGCTTGATACTGTTGGCAGAACTTTCGATCTGCACTTGACAACCCATTACACTCAGTTTCACAACTACTTGTCATAATATCATTGAAAGTAGTGAAGAAGAAACAGGCTTGAAGTATTTAAATTGGAAGAGATGCTGTGGTTAAAATTATGTTCAATGGCAGCCTATAATCCATCATCAAGATAGAAACATCATTAATTTCTATTCCTGCAATTCCCTTCCATCCATTTCTAACAAAACAACAACATAGTACCTTCAAGTAACTCCACTTTTGGGGGAGTCATTTTAGGATGGGTGTTGTTGTCAGACCTTATAATATATCTTGACCAGATTTCATTACAGTAGTTTCATGGGGCGTAAACACAATGTCATCTTGTTGTAAACAGCTGATGTTTTGTCTCAATTTGTTCTCCTAATGGGAAAGAATCTATTTAGGTGGAAAAATGCTGATCAGAAGGACAATTGTCCAAAGTTATGGTTAGTTCCAGTAGAGACTTTTGGGAATAGAGGAAAGGAAAAGGGGTTAACTTCAAAATCTGTAACTTATTATGCTACCTTCCTACAAATATGGATGGTGTTTTCAGGCTACATGCAGGTGTAAAACAAGTCCAGAATTTCAAAATACAGGCTTGCTTTTTAAAATCCGTTTTCTGCCTTCCTTACATATCCTTCTCAATTAGATTATGTTATATATTTTCTACAATGATGGCTGATCTACCTGTAAATACTGCTTCATTTAGAACATAGTTTTACAGACAAGCTTCTCAGGATTAGAAATATTAGATGATTGGCATTTAATGAAATGGAGCCTTCCTGTTTCTACATATGGATTTATTGCTTGCTATCCTCAGCATTATGGGTAGACAGTGTAATGCTTTCCGAGAATGAAGACAAAGGCAGAACTGGTACTTTATTGTTCATGTCTTCCTGAACCACATTTCAAGTAAAGGCACATTTACACATAGATGTTTTTAAAAATATGCTAAGAATAGCTAATATCTTCAGAGGAGCGAAGGGGGAAAAAAGCACAGATAATTAGGATTACATTTAGGTACAGCCCATCATGATACATCTATATAGGGTAAAGAGTTTGTTTTATTTTAACAACATCTACACTTGGTTTCCTATGGTATAATGTTGCAATTCCACAAACAGCAAAAACAAAAAGGCATTAATTAATGCAAATTAAAGCTGATACCTAGCAGCATCCCAGGCAGCTAACTTTTACAGATAATGACTTTTTCTGTTTCTGCACAAGCAGCATTAATGAACATTCTTTCTTTCTAATGTACCAGTGCCACCCAATCTTTATACGTGGCATAAAGGGATGGATTCACTGATGACTCTAAATCACCTAATCTTTGCTGCTTTCACATATCCTCATTAGGAGTAATAGGTACTTCTCAGTGCATCTGCCAAAGATGTAGAATAGTACCTGAAATAGATAATACGCTTTAGCTTGGAAAATGGCAGAATTTGTTCTGTGTTGAAGCTACAGAGCAGTAATTGTCAAACATTCTGCCTAGCCAAGAAGCCTAGATGTATCTGTCATGCGAAAACTGCACATTGCAGTTGATTCAGGGGGAACCAGTCTGGCTGAGGGCAAAAGATAAACTGCAGTTTTCCAGTTCTCCGTCAGCTGGTTTGTGGTAGAATATAAGGAGGAGAATGTTGGTTTGTGGTAACAACTAGGTCATATGCTGATGTGGGTCATATGATGTGATAAATGTGACTTCATTGGTCTAGTAGAAATGGAATGCCTACATTGTCAAAAAAAAATCTTGTGTCTTGTAGAACAGATGAGTTCAGGCATCATTGTAAAGTAAGCCCAGGAAGAGGAGAATTCTAGAAC